TTGTTCCAATAATACTTACCTCTTTTCATGTTTATAGCTATTACTCGACTGCCAGGGTTTCTTCCTTTGCCCATCTAAGCATTGGTCTGATTTTTTCTCACTTGCTCCAGTCATTTATAGCCCACTCAATTGCCCTTGACGATATTTATCTCATAATACTCTCCACCTACAACAATGTGCCCACTATCCTGGTACTGTATATAAGCACCTCATTCAGATAATGTTATAACTTTTCTCAACAAAGCATTTAGGAATGGGTTTCTCTAAAGAAGTACTGCAATTGTTAATCTCCTTGGGTGTGACTCCATTCCAGTCTCTAAGTGGGGAGGACGGGCGGGAGAGTGTAAGAGAAGCTACGTATTATTAGAAGTACACTATCAATTTAGGAAAATGTTAACTTCCAAAACATACATACCTCCACTCCCACTTATAGCTAGAATCCCACACTGGGATGGTAAGGGCAATATTCATATAGAAAGCATCTGCATAGATACTTGGGTGTGTCAACAGAAGATTGGCACGCTAGTGGGAGAACCGCACTACATCCAGAACAGGTATGCTCTTCACTCTGAACTTAGTTCCTGTATCGTGGGTAGAATTGTACATGAGTGATCATTACTATAGGCCAGCCCCAACCAGATAGCCAAGGTTCCACTACTCGGCGTTGGAATTAAGCAATCTTGGCCTCTATATACCACATTTATGGCTAGGGCAATTGGACCACAATATACACACACACATATATATGAGTAGATCCCAACCTGTAGCCAAAGAGTGATGTGTTCCGAGCCAACGGAATCACGACGAGAAAGTAAGCAACACTGAAGTGGACAAACCTTCTCCTCAACCCGAAAGGTAACACCCCAGACTCAGAATGATGGGATCATGTATGCCTTACTCAACCAAAGGAAACAGAACTCATCTGGTTTGGAATTATGAAAATTCATCCTCACTCCCTAACCATGTGGGCAAGGAATTATAGTGAGGACGTGGAACAACTGTCCTCAACCAAGGACCCAGGCTCAGAATGATGGAATCATGTATGCCTTACTCAACCAAAGGAAACAGAACTCATCTGGTTTGGAATTATTAAAATTCATCCTCACTCCCCAACCATGTGGGCAAAGAATTATAGTGAGGACGTAGAACAACCGTGCTCAACCAAGGACCCAGGAAGGGGTAACTCTGCATTCGGAATTATGAGGAGATAGTGGACCCTAACTTCGTCCTCTTCTGCAAGAGTGGAGGAATTCACTCTAACACTCTTGGGGAAAAGCCTCTGTCCACCACCCCAGTGACCGGAAACTGGGTGTGGTAAAGGCTCCCTAGCTCCACTAGTAGAATCTAGGGGGTAATGTGCACTGGGGAGCCCTGAGGAACAGTGCAATAAGTGAACCAAGATCTTCAAGTTTTTAAAAGCAAACCAACCCTGATTTATTCAATCCAATAATCAGCAGGATCCCCTTACGCTTTACTCATGATAGTCCATGAGAGGCAGTCCAGCATAGTACAGTAATACCACTCACCTCCGAGGTGAAACACCTCATTTCTACAAAGGCTGTTGTGACCTGTATGAAGTACATTGAAATAGTGGTTTCTAGTGCAGAATTGGTTGGATAAAAGCACACCTTTCTGGACAACACTCTACAGTGGGATCCAGTGGAAAAAAGAGGTAAGGGACTCTGTAAAGTAAAGATACAAGAGGTGTAAAAAAAAATCACCCTCTCCATATAATCTAGCTGATGTGATCAGAACAGCTATATAGGGTAGGCAAAAACCCTCAGAGGAAGAAATTCCCAGATTGTGTAAATAATGTGAGATAAAAGTATTGGGAGAAGTCCACATACCAGTCCACACAATGTCCTCCAGTGGGAAGTTAAAGACTTAGAAATGTGAAGAATCTGACTTGTAGAAGTTTCTTCACCTGCAAAGATAGCCCAGAATAAGCAATATGGATCAATTTTTGAACCCACCTCATCAAGGTAATTGGAGATAAATCTCGAAAACTGAAGGATCTCAATGAATAAAAAGTCAATGTCTATCACCTCAAAAGCAGTCAGTGCAAGCCACATAACATCTCAGGGCCCTGAATGAAAATAACAAACGATCGAAGTCAGAGCAGCCATTGAGGTGAGAAACAGCCCAAAAATGAATTGGTGGGAAGGATTTATCCCCTTCCCTGGCTGTCAGAATCTTAGTTAGGAAGGACCTAACTGGGTGTAGAAGAACATAAGTAGAGTGTACATGCAGTGCAAACAACTCTCACCAATGACATCCACAGGCCAGCAACAACAAAAAATACACTTTAAGGGCAAGGTGATACATGGTACATGAGGCTAGTGGCTTGAGTGGATGTTGAGAAAAATCATGTAATACTTACTTAATACCCCAGTGAGGTAATTGAAAAGGCCTTTTGGGATGAAGGATGGGTAATGATTTGAGAAGGCCGGATAGCACTGAAGACTCCAATAATTTCATTTAGAGTATCGAAATGTAGTTGATAAAGCTGCCTTATATAAAGTGACAGTAGACAAAGCTAGACCTCTGTCAAAAAACGAGATATGGTTGGCACATTTGGGTAAAGAGAGTTAAATTTTCTTGAGAGACACCATTGTCAATAAGTGTGCCGTTTCATTTGATAAATGTCCATTGTGGATCTACAGAGATTGAGACAAATACAAGGCAACTTTAGAAGTTAATCCCTAATGCCATGCAAAGGACTGCATAACTTCCATGCATGAAGCTTGAGCTTCAGGATATCTGGGTGTGTAATTTGTGATTATTCACAGACCTGGTGAAAATAACTCTGTGAACCTGGGAGGATCTAAGAACTGGTTGAGATGAGAAAGATTGATGATTGGATGCCAATCTCCCATCTTCTTGGGCACAACAAACTGACAGGAATAAAATCCCAGAAGAATTGGATCGACTCTCTCTACTGCCCCCTTGACCAACAACTCTCTGATAGTTCTGAAACGAATGTCCACACTCCAAGGATCTGTTGGAAGTGGAAATACCACTGGTTGGGAGGATAATGGTGGTGGAGATGTGAACTGAATAACCAACCCAGATGCAAGCACCTGGAGTACCCATGGATCATGGTAAAGGAATTCCATACGTCAAGAAAATGATGTAACTGCACTCCACAGACCTCACAGGCATAAGGTAGTCACTGGCGACAGTCTGCCTGAGCAGAGGAGCCTCCTTGATAAGGAATGAATCTCTTCTGGGTACTAATAGATCAAGGAGCTGAAGCTGGAGGTTGGGACACACAACAAGTAGTAACTCCTTGACTCCCAGTAGGAGCCAAAGAAATATGAAAGGCCAACGATGAAAAGGAAGAATCCAAACTGGCGACATCATTCCGTGATTCTAATACTTCTGGAATGCCCGTAAACATTAAGGGACAAAGAAAGGGAGCCTCACATAACTCATGGATGGTAGCAGCCAGTAGATGAACATCCTCCAACAAGGCATCTCTACCCAATAAGTTCCAACAACATACCAGCCAGGAAACCAAAGAAAAAGCAGAAGCTGACAATCTTACCAAGGTAAATGTCATCAAAGGTTCCAAATCATTATCAAATTGATGTGGGGATCACTAAGAGGCTTCTGACAAAATTTGCAGAACTGTAGTGAGGATCAGATGAATCCTAGAAAAATTGTGATTTTTTCAAATTGATCAAAGGCTCCATTCTGGAACCCCACATTTCCAAAAGTGGAAAAAAATCATTGTGAATCTAAATATACGTCCTCCTGGCAGTGGTAATGGAGGAAAAACTAAGTATTCACCCTCAGACCTTTCTTGCATCAATGAAGGAGTAGACTCAAAAACAACTGCCAGAACCCCACACATCCAACTGACTAACTGAAGAAAAGGAGCAGGAAGTGACTGATCCAAACTGGCCTCAAGAGAAGCTGACCTAGTAAATGAAGGTGCCAGAAAAAGCGAGTCTAAATTCTCTCCAGAATGCCCTGGATCATTGGCAAAACCAGCCTCAGAACCCCCCACCCCTCAAGAAAAAATCCCGGACCGAATATATGTCTCCATCTCATTAAGAATCATATCACGGATAGCCTTAACTGAGAGTGAACCCTGATTGTTGAGTGACACCACATAGCAGAGGTCTGACTAGCTTCTGTGCTGAAAACAGTCACTTGGGAATTCATGTCTGAAAACAGTGTCTTGTAACAAGGGGATTTTTTTATTCGATTACTTATTATTAATATTATTGAACATAAATCAACTAGGCAATTCGAAAATCACACCCAAGGACATTAACAATTGCAGTGCTTCTTTAGAGAAACCCATTCCTAAATGCTTTGTTGAGAAAAGTGATAACATTGTCTGAATGAGGTGCTTATATACAGTACCAGGATAGGGGGCACATTGATGTAGGTGGAAAGTATCAT